TGCCCTTTGTGGCTTGTCCCACTAGGCTCTTTCCAGCTGGCAGGATGGGTGGCCACTGCAGCCCAGACACCCACCGCCCAAGGCAGCAGCACAGGCTGCTCCTCTCTCCCACAGGAATCTGGGACGATGCCTGTGAACCACGCCCGAGGCCCTGGGAGCAGAGGCGGTTCCAAAGGAAGATTGGGAGGAGGCCACCAGAAGGAGGGGCGAGAGCGCTGGGCGGGCCAAGACGACAGGTGTCCGCTCAGGGACAAATGTGCCACAGAGTTGTGCACGTCTTCTGTGGCCATTCAGACCATTTTAAACGGCTCCGTCCACACTTCGGTGTGGTTCAAGGTCATTAGTGCAGGCGACGCGAGAGGGGTCACCGTCTCCCAGGAGACCCCGCCCCGAAAACACGGAGACGACACTCACAGCCCTTGTGGAGGACCTCGGAGACACCAGGTGTGGTCTGCACTGTCCCCACGGTGTCCGTTCCGGGGGGAGGGGCCGGCAGTGGGACGAGATGTCCGCTGGCGCCTGCTCTGGAGAAAAATGAACGCAGGGCGAAGCCTGTCGGGCGATCCTCCATTGCAGACCGTGGGCCTTCGTTGTCACGCGAGGGCGTCAGGTGAGCCGCTAGGTCACACAGAGAGGAGAGAGAGGGACCCGCGCAGGTGTCTGGAGAGGGAGCGCTCCAGCAGGGGACGGCACACGCGAGGCCCTGTGCGAGCGCGCTGCGTGTGGCCGCAGAGCTACCGTCGCCCCGCGAAGCCCACCCACGCGAGCGTCGCGCAGGCGCCTGCGGAATGGCCGAGGTTGGGTGCAAGGTCTGGGCCCCCGGGGCCACCACCACGGCCGTTAGGGGCCGAGCCGCAGGCCGTGCGACCTGGACTGGGCCGCCACTCGGAGCTTCCATGGCGTGCTCTTAAGCCAGTCACCGCCCTCCTGGGCCGCCGCCCCCCGCAAGGGGACGCGTCGAGGCTCCGCAGCCTGGACGCTTGCCCCACCCTTGCCCGAAGGCAGCCAGGGAGATCCCCCCCACTGTGAACTGTTGATTCCACCCAATGTCAACGAAAAGAAGACTCGAACCTTTGCGGATTTAAGAAAAGAGCTTTCTGTCCCGGCCCCCTGAGGACATTGCCCCAGAGAGTCCCAAGGAGCCTTGAAACGGGGTCCAACGTCTGGAAATTGCTGGGAGCTCACGCAGTCTCAGCGCGGCCCTGCACGCAGGGGTGAAGAGCTCCCGGCAGGCTTACGGCTTCATCTGAGGTGGATGAGGCGGGACGGTCCTCGCCTGCAGCCTGGCGCCGGGAGGCTCGGGAAGGGTCTGGAAGCCGCTGGAGAAAGAGCAGGCGCCGCCTTCTGTGGCCATTTCTCTGTGTAATTGGAACGGCTGGGCCTGCGTTAGGCAGGCACTGTGTCCCCTTGGTTACTGATCAAGCTGGAGCAGCTTAGACACCCTGTGCTTGCTCACCTCTGCCCAAGCCCCACACACGGGGTCCACTGGCCTCCGAGGTCCCCTGTGCCCTGGCTTCCTGCTCCCTCTCCACCCGTCCCCCGCTTTCCTCTCTCTCTCTCCTGCCCCAGCCACGCTGGACCCTTGCTGACCGCCCAGCGTGCCAGCCTGGCTCCCTCTGGGGCCTCTGTTCCCTTCTAAGAACACCCTTCCCCAGGCGGCGGCACGACTTCCTCCCTCACCTTCCTCAAGAGGCTACAAAGGTGTCCCCCCCCCCGCCCCCCCAGAAAGCCTTCCCCACACGGCCAGGTAAAGCAGCCGCTCTCCCCTTCCCCGGTCCAGGCCCTCGCTCCACTTAACTCTTCTCCATTATGGGAACTAACCCCCGACGTGTGACGTGTTCATCTGAGCACCTGTTTTTACGTTTCACCCACTAGAATGTAGACGTCACGGGGCACAGACTGCCTTCGTCACTCCCCTTCATCCCAACTTCCCAGAGGCCAGAGCAGGCCAGCCATGCAGCAGGACACCACGAACAAGCACCTGCCACATTGCTTCTGTTTCCGCCCTGGACGTCCACTTAGTCCTTTAGCACGATCTTCTAAAACCGCAAATTCGATCGCCCACCCTCTTTACCGGCAAGGCTGCACTCAGCAGTGCGGGCATCTCGCCATCCCCGGGCTAAGTCCACACGCCTCACATGGCCAACGAGGCCCCGCCCGGGCCGACGTCCTCCTGCTCCCCTGGCCTCTCTAAGCGCCGTCCCCACCTGCTCATCTGCTTCCCGGCTTCCTTTTCCTTAAACCCGACTCCTTTCTGTGGCCTCTGGACTCGCAAACGTATTCTTCACGTGAAGGGGACACATTTTGCTCTTATGCTTCTGACTCAACTTAATGTCGCTTCTTCAGGAAACTTTGGATGGATGAGTGAAGGGATGAATGGATGGACAGAGGTATGGAAGGAAGGAAGGAGGGAAGGAAGGAAGGAA